TTCATCTTTCGAAAGAGTTGGAAATGAAGAAAGGATTGAAATGGTTCATCAGTGTGAAAGCGAGATTTGTTAAACCAAAGTGGACGGTGAAGATCTATTCAGTGAACCACATTTCCGCAGTCTGTGTACTACAACGGTTAATGCTCATGATTTGGAGAAACAACTACAAGAAGCTTGCAGTAAAATTATCGATTCCTTGGCGATATATCAAAAAGAAGGAAGCGGTTGGATCCTAGATGAAATACTTCATTTAGACCTAAACTATTAAATACACTCCACTCAAAGATTCCAGTTATATTCCTCTACCGAAAAAGTTGAAAACTAAGAAAGCCATTATTAACGTCAAGAACACGGATAATAAATGTTTTATGTGGTCAACCGTCGCTGCTCTACATCCAGCCGCTCAACATGTGGACAGACAATCCCATTACATACAATTTGAACATAATTAGACTTCAGTGGTATCGAGTTTCCTGTCAAAATTGATAAGATTGGAAAATTTGAGAGTCAAAATAACATCTCAGTGAACGTGCTTGGTTTTGAAGATGTACTCTTTCCCATTTATATTACAAAAGAACATTTTGACTCCCATGTGAATTTATTGCTATACTCCCAGGAAACAACCAGGCATTACTGTCTCATCAAAGATCTGAATAAATTGCTCTACGACCAGAATCGTAAAAAGGCCCGTATGTTTTACTGTCGTTACTGTCTGCATGGATTTATTCGAGAAGACCTTCTACCAGATCATGAGCCCCACTGTTGTCGATATGGAGTCCAGCGTATTGAGTTACTGAGTGAAGACAATGCTTCACTCTATTTCAAAGATTATCACAAACAACTCAAGGTACCATTTGCTATTAATGCTGATTTTTAAAGCGTCACAGCCAAGATCAATTCAGCAACTCCCGATCCAACTAAATCATCTACCGAGAAATAACAGCATCACCAACCTTGTGGATTTTCGTATGTTGTCGTATCAGAGGCAGAACAATATTCCAATTTGCCCGTTGTGTGTATCGTAGTGAGGATGCTGTGGATAAGTTTCTCGAATGTTTAGAGACAGAACAGCAATACATCGAAGAAAAACTTAGTTTCATCCAGCCGATGCGCATCGAGAACGAAGAAGAACAGATGTTTCAAAATGCCATTAACTGTCATCTGTGGTTTTGAATTGGGCGCCGACCGAGTTCGCGATCATTGCCATCTCACAGGAAAGTATCGTGGAGCCGCACACAACGAATGTAACTTAAACTATAGTTTTACTGGACGCATTCCTGTCATTCTGCATAGTCTTCGTGGTTATGACTCCCACCTGATTATGCAAGGTCTTGGAAAGTTAAAGAATAAGGAGATCAACTGCATCCCCAACAATATCGAAAAGTATATTTCCTTTTCCATCGATAAACTAGATTTTATTGACTCACTTCAGTTTATGGACGCTTCCCTCGAACGGCTGGTGTCTAATCTTTCAAAGAGTGGCGCAGATATGTTTCCAATTTCCAGAAACACACTGAAGCTGAAAGAGTACCATTGCTTCTGCGGAAAGGCGTATATCCGTATGACTACATGGATAGTGTGGAAAAGTTTGATAAAGAAACTCTGCCTCCTCAAGAATGCTTCTACAGTGTTCTAAATGATGAACACGTTACCGATGCTGACTACAACCACGCTACTCGCGTCTTCGAGGCTTTCAGCTGCCAAAGTATGGGAGACTATCATGATTTGTACTTAAAATCGGACATTCTGCTCCTTGCGGATGTATTTGAAAACTTCCGGAACGTCTGTCTAAAAGCATACAATCTAGATCCTTGTCACTTTTACACAAGTCCTGGATTGGCGTGGCAAGCTTGCCTAAAAATGACAGAAGGTGGAACTAGAGTTATTGACTGATCCAGATATGTATTTATTCATCGAAGAACGGCTTCGTGGTGGAATATCCATGATAACGTACCCAAACTCACCATAAATAACGCTAATGATCCCTCATGGATGGATACAGAGCTGCGACAATTATTGAGAGAGAAAAACATCCAGAGATGGAAAGCCTTAAAATCTCAATCACCCAGCGATCTCGAAAAGTATAAACTTTTAAGGATCCAGTCTAAACAATTGATTAGTAAAAAGAAGAAAGAACATGCTTTAAAAATGAGGGACTCTGTGTTCGATAATCCCAAAAGATTTTGGTCATATATAAAGAGAATTACAAAGACTAATCAACAACCAAATTTTCTCAGAGATGAACAAAATTTTGTCTCTGACCCTGTTGGTATGGCCAATATGTTAAATTGTTTCTTTCACTCTGTTCTCAATTTCGGCACTAATGAACCTCCTGATTTTTCTCCAATTAACATACCAGCAAAGCAGCTTAGTAATATTCAGTTAACAGTTTACGAAGTGTCTGAGGTGCTCCATAGCTTGGACGTAAACAAAGCTAGCGGTCCAGATAATTTGCCAAATAGAATTCTGGTAAGCGTTGCTGATGAAATTGCACCTTCAATTTGCCGTCTTTTCAATCTTTCACTATCAGAAGGCATAATGCCTAAACGATGGAAACTTGCTAACATTACTGCCATCTTTAAAAAGAATGATCCGACAATTCCATCGAACTATAGACCTATCTCTTTACTCGATACGTTATCGAAAGTTTTAGAGCGGTGTGTTTATAATCACTGTTATGAACATCTACACTCTATGTTCCATTATCTCCAACATGGTTTCCTGAGAGGGCGGTCCACGAATACGCAGTTGTTGGTAGTATACCATCAAATTCTGGATGTATTGCTAATGGTCAAGAAGTAGACGCAATTTACCTGGACTTTAGCAAAGCGTTCGATAAAGTACCACACAATCTGCTTTTATTAAAACTTAAATCGTATGGTATTTCTGATCCTACCCTCTCATGGTTTGGCAGTTACTTATCGGAAAGACATCAACTAGTGGTTATCAACGGACATTCTTCTGACTGGCTCCCTGTTACATCGGGCGTACCGCAGGGGTCTATCCTTGGGCCGCTTCTTTTCGTAATATACATTAACGATCTACCCACCTATTTGGAAAACAATTCATCAATTGCTCTTTATGCGGACGACTCCAAACTTTTCCGCCCTATCTATTTGCCTAACGACAGTGTTTCCCTTCAGAAAGATCTCGACAGCCTCAGTCACTGGGGCGAAAACTGGGCAATGGCATTCAATGTTAGTAAATGTAAAGCAGTACATTTTTCAAGGAAGAAATTACCTACAGAACATCACTTAACGGGTAAAAACTACTATCTGGCAGGTAACCAATTAGAAAATGTTGCTAACATACTGGACCTTGGAATTACTATCACCAACAACCTTTCATGGTCTAAACACATCGAAGAGATTGTCTCTAAAGCTAACAGAACCCTTGGTCTTGTTAAAAGATTGTGTGGGGATATCAAGGACACAAACACCCGGAAGCTTCTGTATTGTACTGTTGTTAGACCAAAGCTTGAGTATTGTAGTAGTCTTTGGTCTCCTTACACAGGTAAACATCGTTTACTTATCGAAAATGTTCAGCGAAGAGCTACGCGGTTTATTCTTAATTACCCAAAAGATATGTCATATCCGTTGAGGCTGCAGAAACTACGCCTTTTTCCACTGGAATTCAGAAGAGAGATTTCGGATTTAACTTTATTGTTTAAGTCCAGAAATGGGCTAATAACTATGGACGTGAATAAGTACCTGAACACTTACGTTTATTGCTATCGGACACGTAATTACGACCCAAATAACTACAACGTGATTATTAAGCACAAACAAGACTATTATAGAAAGTCGTTTTTCATTAGGGCTACAGAACTCTGGAATACGTTACCTTCTAATTTAAAATCTTGTAATTCAATTACTTTATTTAAGACTAAAATCACTAACCTATACTTTGATAAATTAGCTACGTATTGCTTACCTGCGTGAATATTTCTTAGTGTATTGTATTGATGTATAGGGGTAGGATGGCAACTGGGACATTAGTCCTGTATCTAACTCCTGCCAGTCGTCTGTTTAGTAAACTTGTAACTTGTTATATATGTATGTTATTGTAACTTACTGGCGAATTAATTAAACTAAACTAAACTAGCTGGTTCCTGCCCGTATTGCGGGCCTAACACGTTAATTGTAATTTTTGCATTTTTTCGTATTTTTGTATTGCTTGTATTGATCGTAATTCTTGTATTTCTCATTGTATTTCTCGCATTTCAAGATCGAACATGACTAAAGTTGTGTTAAATCAAACTATATGATCAATGAGGCTGGAGGTTGTCATGGTTACCCGAGTAGCTTCCTTAATTAATTGTGACAATTGATATAGTTCATACAGTGATTTTATTTTCTTGGTTGGTGTATCGGATTCTGTTTTAAGCATGTCACAATTTAAATCACCAAGAATATACATTTCTTTATTTTCATCATCAATCGCTTTGATTAATTTTTCAAAATTTTCAAAAAAATCATGTGATGAATTTGGTGGTCGATAAATAGTTGTAACCAAAAATGGCCGACTATGTGGCTTACTAATTTCTACACAAACAGCCTCCAATTCGGAGGGAATAAGATCATTTCTTATTTTATAGTTGATTGAGCTACGTAAGTATATACAAACTCCACCCCCATTTCTTGATCGGTCTTTTCTAACAATGTCATAGCCATCAAGGTCAATCATACAATCAGAAATATTTGAATCAAGTCGGGTCTCACTAAAATCAATCAGGTCAATGTGTTTGTTGGACATTGAGTAACGTATTTCATCAATCTTTTTTGGCAAACTGACAATATTTAGGAAAGCCATCTTAAAACCTCTTTC